GGAAGAGAGAGAAGCCCAAGTAGACTCCATGCTGTCAGCTCCGCGGATTCCGATGCAGGACTCGATCCCACAACTGTGAGATCACGACCTGAGCCAAAATCAACAGTCAGACACTTAACTGACTGAGCCACCCAGGCACCCCTAATTTTGTTATCATTATTTTTAATGTAGTCTGTAATGGTAGTTCTAAACCAAGGATGGTTCTCCCCACTCCTGACAGGGACATTTGACAGTGTCTGAAGACCTTTCCGGTTTTTGAAACTAGGGGGGCACTACTACCATTCATTGGGTAGAGGCTAGGGATGCTGCTAAACACCCAGTAATACACAGAAAATCCCCACCCCCATAATAAAGAATTATCCAGTCCAAAATGTCAATAGTGCCAAGATTGAAAAAAACCCTGGAATATCCCCTATCAATGAGGGAGAGTGGCTGGGGCTGCAGCTCCGTTAGAGTGGAGATCGTGGAACCAGGGACGTAGGAGTCCCTGTGAGTATGTGTATAGACCATTCCTGTATCCTCTTCATGGCATGCTGTGGGTTAGGGAGTCAGTGGTGTTGAACATGGAGGATGAGAAGAGATTAAGGAAAAACTGGAGAGGAACACAGAGTCCGGGTGGTTGGAGAGAGCAGAAGGAAGCTGCCTCTGATGTCTTTGAACTTGGCACCTTACTATAAATAGCACCCTCATGCTACAGAAATAGAGGATATAGTGTATTTTAAAATATTTTCCATGAAAAATGAGGTAGGTAGTTACGGTGTTGGCCCCCAGTGAGTGGTGCTGTCCTTCGCCCACACTTGTTTCTGTTGTGATTTTGCCATTCCTCTTGTCGAGAGGTGGAGTCTGTTTTTCCATCCCATGTGTCTGAGCTGGCCTCACCACTTGCCTTGACCAAAAGAATGTGGAGGGAGTGATGATGTGTGACTGCTGAGGCCATTCAGGTTTGGTTTTCTCCCCGTTAGGACACCTCTGCCGTCATGGGAGGGATCTCGGCCTGACACAGTCTCTGGGGAAAGGGTCCGGCCATTCGGCTGGCCTGGCCCCGCGTCGCTCCCAGCCAACCTTCCAGCACAGTGGACTCAGATGAAACTAGCTTGTCTGCCCAGCCAACCCATGGAATAGTGAGGAATAATAAAGTGTACTTATGTTAAGTCACTGAACTTTGGGCTAGTTTGCTACACAGCAAGAGATAACTGGACACTGTATATAAATGGCTTCATTTGAAGCAGCAGATGATAGATTTGCCTTAGGATGTTGCGTACCTGTCAGATCGCGCTTCAGAGAAACTGAGTTCTTCCTCCTTTGTGTCTCGTAGCACTTCTCAGAACTTCTGGATGAGTTTTCCCAGAACGTCTTGGGTCAGCTCCTTAATGACCCTTTCCTCTCCGAGAAGAGTGTGTCGATGGAGGTGGAACCGTCCCCGACATCCCCGGCGCCTCTCATCCAGGCTGAGCACAGCTACTCCCTGTGTGAGGAGCCTCGGGCCCAGTCACCGTTCACCCACGTTGCCACCGGTGACAGCTTCAATGACGGTAAACTCAGGGCAGGGGAGATACTGGGACCATGGGACCTTTGACTCGGAGCTCCTCGGGGGTGTGGAGTGTGTGTTACACTATTGTCAGCACTCACGTTAGCCGCATACCTACTGCACAGAAAGCCTGGGGCTTGGGCTGTGGGGAAATGCAGAGTCACGGGATGCTTTCCCCACCCCCGGCCGTGTGCTCTGGGAACTTGCTATAACGAATGCCAGTAGTTGCTTTCTTTGACCCCGTGGATTGGGCAGCAGAACATCCTTTTGCAAATCAAGGTTGGCCTGTTTGGTTGGTAATTCCGGTAACTCCAATGGATTAAGGGATCGTGTCATTTTTTTCTGAGAAAGAATTTTTATGACCGCTCTTCTCCACACAAGCTTCTTGGGCCTCCTCTTAACCCATATTCAGCATGTTCCCTTGATCACATGTATACGAGATCTTGGCGAGCATTCCTAGGTCACCTAGCATTCCTGGTGACCCTTTCATGCCCATCATCAATGCCAACAGTATGGTATTTGTTGAAGATCTAGTTTTCTTGGCTTTAGAGTGTTAAGCTGTTTGACCATGTGTCTGTAAAGTGACTTTCTTCCAGATCTGAATTCCTTTATTTCATATTATCAGTGCCTTAAATTGTAGCTGTTGATTCACCTGGCAGTTCTTGAGTTCACATGCTAGACATTGGAGGAAATAGAAATAAAAAATGAGCACATTGTTCTCATAGAACCTACCACTTGGGGAACATTAGATATGTATACAACTGACTATAAAAATGGAGAATATATGCTAACGGTGGTGGTTAAGGTTATGTCCTCTGCAGTCAGACCTCAGTTTAAGTTCTATTTCAGTGACTACTTGTGGGCCAACTACTTAACTTCCTCATGTGTAAAAGTAGGATAAAAGCAGCATCTATTTCATGTCTTGTAAAGATTAAACATCAGAATATATGCCAGTGCCTAGCCCAGGATATCGTTCTTAGCTGCTGATACTAAGGATATTGTTCTCAGCCGCTGTTGCAATCACTCTTATTTCAAACCAGGAACTGTAAGAGGATGGCAGGGCTTTAGGTGATCAGGAAAGTTTGGGGGAGGATTTCTTAACTTCCCAAGCTGTGACCTACAATGAAATGTGATATTGGGTTTCTAGCCATCAATATTCACTTTTGTTCATATCCATTCCCTATTGCAAAATCTCAGATAGTCCTCCATTGTTCTATAGAATGAAGCTGACCTCACAGCATATCTTTCAAAGCCCTTTGTGGGCTGATCCTACCTCCTTTCCCCACCTTGTCCCATCTCTCCCTGTCTGTGTGCCTCTGGCACTGACTTTTCCACTCCACGACTTTTTTTTTTTTTTAATTTTTTTTTTCAACGTTTATTTATTTTTGGGACAGAGAGAGACAGAGCATGAACGGGGGAGGGTCAGAGAGAGAGGGAGACACAGAATCGGAAACAGGCTCCAGGCTCTGAGCCATCAGCCCAGAGCCTGACGCGGGGCTCGAACTCCCGGACCGCGAGATCGTGACCTGGCTGAAGTCGGACGCTTAACCGACTGCGCCACCCAGGCACCCCTGCTCCATGACTTTTCTTACACTGTTTTCTTTATTCTGGGTTCCCATTACCTTTGTCAGCCCCACCAGTCAAATTCCCACCTACCCATCAAGACCGAACTCAGTGTCATCCGGTGCCAGACTCTCCCATCTGGAAGCTGTCACCCATTATGTTTTCACAGCACTGCTTCTGTGTGTTTATTTGTTTTGGTTTTGCCGTTTGTCTAGAGACTATTACATGTGTCCTTATATTCCAGCCGTTATTTATTTTTCTATTCTCTTCTCTGTTTTGAGCTGGTTTGTGAGCAAGTATGATTATGTGTTCCTGGTACCTAGCACTGTGCTTGGCACTTTGATGGTATCTGATAAACAGTTATTTCACTGAGTTAATTGTACAGTAAGTGGTGAAGGGAGAAGGTATAGAAAAGACTGAAGCACATTCCTAACCTCTGGTGACGGCATCAGGGAAGACACCTGCTCTGCTGTCCCCTACACTGCTTGCTCTCTGACTCTGCACATACACTGGGCTGCATGCATTTGATCAGGTGGTGTTTCTTGGCCTTTCGCAGCTGTCTTGTACAGGGGCAAACACAGTGCCAAGTAGGAGTAGATATTTTATAAATGCTTTATGATTCACTCTTAAAATTCACTTCATAGCGATTTATTGAGTACCTACCTTGTACTTAACCTGCGAGGCGCTGTTCTAAGCACTGAGGGTAAAAAGTGAACACAATTACAAAGGTCTCTGCCTTCATGGAGTTTACATTCTAGGAGGTAGGGGTGACGGAAAATAAGAAAAAGAAAAAAGTAAAATATATGGCTTATTCGATGGTGATCAGTGATATACAGAAAAAGAAATCAGAAAAATGGATAGAGACTTGCTGAAGGACGTGGGCGGGCATCTTAGTCTATTCAGGCTGCTGTAACAAAAATATTACATGGCTTATAAACAATAAAAAATACTTTCTTATGGTTCTAGAGCCTGGAAGTCCCAGATTAGGGTGCCAGCATGGGTGGATGAGAGCCCTCTCCAGTTGCAGACTTCCTGTTGTATGCTTACATGATGGAAGGGATGAGGGAGCGCTGACGGGTCTCTTATTAATAAAGGCCCTGTTTCCATTCATGAGGACTCCACCCTCATATGACATAAGCACTTCCCAAAGGCCCCTCTCCTGATAACATCACACTGGGCATTAGGATTTCAACATGAGAATTTGGGGGGACACAAGCATTCCCACCATAACGGGGGATGAGGAATTGAAATCCTAAACAGGATAGACTGAGAAGGACCATCTTTGAAGGTAATGTTTGAGTAAAGCTCAGCAGATGAGGAAAAGAACTAGCTGTCTCAGGAAGATGCTTCTAGGCAGAGGAAACATCAAGTGCAGAGGGCAGAGGCTGTGTGGCTGGAGTGATAACAATAGGGCCACCTTGTATTATATTTAGATGATTATATAATTGTGGAGTGGTCAGCCGTTCTGCAGCCTTGCTGTTCTAGAACATGCAGATTAGAGAAGGCCTAAATAATCTAGGCGGACCCACTTGCCCCTTCAGTTCCACATATGTTTGCGGAACACCCGCTGTGGGTCAGACACTGTCCTCGATAATTGCAATACGCAATAGTGAAACTTAGATCCCGCCTACAAGTAGCTCAGACTCTAGTGAAAATGCCATGTACCCCAATACTTGACCAGGCAGAATGGAAATGTCCCAAGAGGAAATTAAGCTGTAGAAGTTCAGAGCAGAGAAGGCACACCCAGAGAAGATCATAGGAAATGTACCATGAATGAGACAGAGTTTATTTGGGCCTTGAAGCATTGGGTGGAGTTGGAACAGTGGCTGGAGGGAAGCAGACGGAGGCCCGAGGGCTGGAACATTGATTCTTCTAAAACAAGATCTCTAGTGAAATGGTTGCAAATAAGTACGTTTCCAAAGATGCCATCTCTTTCTCTTCCATGATGAAACAATTTCTTTGTATTTTAATTGCAATCAATATAAATGCAACCCAGGGGAACTCAGGGGTGCCATCGATGCTAATAGTTGAGTGTTAGGGAAAAAGAAGCAGTGAATCTCTTCTGGGAAGGCTTTCTTATCATTAGACCAAAGCACACTCCATTCAGTTCCCTCACCTCGTGCCTTCTTCTATGTATAGATCCTGTGCTGCTATAGGCTTTGCTAGTAATTTGCTGAGAACAGGTGTAGTGGGTCAGATATAGCTTGCAAAGGGTTTCTGATCCACCACTCATGTTCAAAGATCGGGATTTCTCTGAGTTAGAACCACCTTCCTATGCCAGCAAAAGCACTTGTACAAGTAGGGGGTAATGAACAAGGAGGGTAACCATTTGGGCAGTGTGAAATCAAAGTTAGCATACATGAGTAGATGGGGCACTTTCCCCGGAAAGCTTTGTCCACATCTTAGCATCCAATATTTTTCTGAGTTTGGTGTAGACAGACAGATGTTTGGGAACAGAATTATTTTATTCATTTGAAATCCTGTTTGCATCCACCTTGAGGGAGGATCAGCCCCAAGGATCCTTCTTGCAGCACGTGTTCTGCCCGACAGAGCCCCTTCCTGTTGGAAAAAGGTGGTAGTTCTTTAGGAAGTGTGTAAGAAGGCGGCATTTAAAAATTGCTGTTCACATTAAATTTAATATTCTTTTTCTCTCGCTTTGGGAAAACAGCTTAAGCAAAAGTAGGAGTCCTTGTTTCTAGTGATGGATAGCCAGTTGTTTCATTATATCTGGGAAAGCCAGTGATTCAGATCTCCTTGTCCAATTTTACTTAGATTAAGTGGAATTCCTCTGTAGTTGCAGCTAAGCCTAAAAGAAGATGATGAACAATTGGAGTAGACCATCTCCTACTTTATTAGGATTTTTCTCTGTCTTTTCCTCTGTCTTTGTCCTCTCTTCCTCTCTCTCCCACTTCTTTCTTTTCCTTTGTCCTTCCTTGTTCTCTCCCTGCTGTTTCTTCTCCCCCACCCTCCCTCCATAAACCCCAGACCAGTGACATAGGGCATATTAGGTGCTCTTATCCTCTTAACTTTTTATGGACCTGGATGGACTGTAGACCCCTAAAATGATATACAACATTTTGGGCTGTCCACATTTGTCATTTTTTTCTGCTGAGAACATCTATAACTTTTTTTTTAGATCCTCAAGAGTCTGTGACTGCCACCCTCACAGCACCCCTCCTCCCCCTCCCCATCCCCCCCCGCCCCCCGCAAAGAGAGGTTGAGAAACACTGGTCTAAGATTACATAGGAGTCATCTATCTTCAGGACTGAATATGACTGTAGACTTCTTTCTCTGAAACACTAGAGCTAAAAAACTCATGTGGCCTCAGCAACCACAGGATCCAGACGTCAGAGTGTGGGCTCAGCCTTCAAAACCACCAGAAAGATATTCTGCCCCCAGCTCATTCATTTCTCCCCATGATTAAGGCTGTTAACCAGATGC